TCCTAAGACCCCATTTTTGCGTGTACCCCGACGAGATCTTTGCGCCGTACAACGTAACTCATCGCGCTGATTCCGAATATGTAAAAATCTCAAATACCGCTTCTCTAGAAAAAAATCATCAAATTTTAATATGCAACACTTATATGTTCAATTTATCCTTCATAACTCAGTCAGTTTTAATCCAGATTTTATAAAAGGAACTACCGTAAGAGTCTCAAGACTTTCGTCTTCTTACAAATGTGGAAACTTTCACAGTGTAACCTTCCAAAGGACGATCAAAGTCAATGCTTTTCTCCTGATATTTTATCAGCTGCAAGAGTCAGTAGAGTAGATTTCAATAGTGTTTTCATTTCTTAAGAAATGAAATACAATTTCTACATAATCACACTTACAATCGAGAAGGACTCTTACCGATTATCGGTCCACTTACCGATTATCCATCCACTTGCCGATTATCCATCCACTTACCGATTATCGGTGTGTGGTTTAACAAATCATCGATCGAGTGCATGTTTTTATCGTAAAACGACTGGATGCTTTAATTGCGGCGGTCGTCATGCGGTCCGTGATTATAAACACCCACCACATTTTCATTAGCTGGGTCCGACGGTGGTGGATCACCCAGCGAATCATTAAACCCATCAATTTCAACGACACCACAAACATCATCACCTATTCATATTAAAGTTAGAGTTAATGGAACACCGTCTCAAGCAATCATCGATACCGGCTCCGCCATCACTATCATCCATCAAAAGCTATTAAAAACGATCCATCATCAAAAATTCATTTATAAATCAAAAACATTAATAACAGCAAATTCGTCACTATTAAATATTATCGGTTACATTCCCATTGAAATTCAGATTCAGCATATAAAAACCAATGTAATTGCTGCCGTATGCACAAATTTAATCACACAGTTATTATTAGGCAACGATTGGATAAATCCTCATAAAGTCCACCTTTTAGGAGATCAACAGCGACTAACCCTTCCCGACCACAACGAAAATCGTATATCGGCATTGTATCTTGCAAATGCCGATCATAATTATCCAGTCTTACTAGTAGAGCAAATAGTAATGCCACCTTCTTCTGAACGATTAACAGACGTGAAAGTCCAACTTTCCAATGGCGAAGATTTAATTTTTGAACGGACGGGCAATCTTCACACAAAATTTATATTCATACCGAACACTCTTCTTAATGTTACCAACAATACAGCGAAACTCTTAATTATTAATGCTCATAATCGTCAACATACATTATCCAAAAACTCAAGATTAGGTTTTGTTTCAACGAATCAAAAACTAGAAATTTGTCTTACAATGAATTCATCTGGTAAGAAACATCCACGTACAAATACTATTAATCCAAATTCATTTCATTGTCAACGAATGTCTGGAGCCTACCGCAAGGGAAACTCGAATGACACCATATCTTTTAATAGTCAACAAAGGTCGGGAGCTTTCCGCGAGGAAAACTCGGATGACGTTATATGCATTAAATGTAAACAAAAGTTTTTAATGGGAAATGATTTACAACGCCATTTGAGAGATACGTGTTATCCTGAGGAAATCCGTCATTATATTAAAAAATTAACGGACCATATAGAAGATCAAAAATAAAGATCCAAAATAGAAGACATATTTTGGAGAAATAAAGAATTACTTCAATCAACACCGTCAATTGTTAATGTCTCATCTCAGTCAGCAATAAAAACAGCCGACCATCCGCCCATTTATTCCAAGCAATATCCAGCATCTGAGAAAGATCAACAACTCAAATTAGAAGAAACAAATAAACTCTTGGCACAAGGAAGAATAGAAGAATCCAATTCGCCATGGTCCTCACCGGTTGTACTCGTTAAAAAGAAGGATAAATCTGTTAGATTTTGTATTGATTATCGTAAATTAAATGCAATTACCATTAAAGATGCATACCCGTTACCTAAAATTGATGAAATCTTCGATCAATTGGAAGAGGCAGTTTATTTTACAAAGTTGGATCAGGATATTCCAAATACCACTCTCAAAAGAAGACCGTCCAAAAACAGCTTTTTCGACTCGTGACGGTCGTTTTCAGTTTACAGTGTTACTACAAGGAATATCAAACGACCCAGCGACGTTTCAGCGAATAATTAATAATATATTAGGACCAGCACGTTGGCGATATGCATTGGCATATATTGATGATGTCATAATATATTCAAGGACATTTGACGAACATACTGGTCATTTAAAAGAAATCTTACAATTATTAAATGAATCAAGATTTAGACTAAATCCCGAAATATTAAAAACAGAAACTCAGTATTTGGGTCATAATATAAAAAATGGAGATATTCGTCCGAACGAAGAAAACATTAAATGTTTACTTAACACCAGCAGCAGCAGAGGAGGCTTGTAGGGTTGTAAACGCCGCCGAATATTACAGAAGATTCATACCAAATTTTTCAAGGGTAGCAGAACTTCTGCGGAAATTTGTGCCAACGGCGAAAAGGGCAAAAGAGGATATCGAACACAAATTACATTAATAAAAGAAGAAATCACTGCATTTGAACAATTGAAACAAATATTAACAGGTGAATTAGCATTACGTATTCCCAGTAACAGATATCCATATAAAGTACAAACGGATGCGAGTGAAAACGGTATTGGAGCCGTTCTACTGCAAGTCTATCCAGACGGTGACCATCCGGTAGCATACATATCAACGACACGCGAGGACAACGGAAACCATGCAGATCAGTTATATCAGGAAATTCTCCTGTTTCAATGGATAATTTATAAATATGGTACAACTGCATATAAATGATGCTGACGTTTTTTTTAATACAACCGCTGGGATTTCATCTGGACCGCATGCAATATTTTCGCGAAGGCTATTGATAGCAGCGGTTATTTGCTCAACATTTGGATATACAAGGTTCAATACTGATGTGGAGCGACCTTTGATAGCGGAATAGGCATAGGTCCGGCTGTGGGGACGGTAGCAGTGGAGAAATATTTGCTAAATAAGTCTGCCTTTTCCTGACCTGTTGAAGCTGTATCTGTACCGCTGGACAAGGTGGCAGGAAGACTTGAGTTACCCTGTCCTACGCGGTTTATAGCTGTCCAAAATGTTGATGGAGAGGTAAAGGATTTTGCTAAACAGCTAAAGAATGCTCGTTTATCTTTGGTTAGCTCTTTTTTTGCGTCTTTCCTACACCTTTGAAAATTTTCTTTCGCTTGCGTAGTATCCCTATACTTATACTTTTGGAATGCTCGGTTGCGCTTTCGAGCTGCGTGGTAATAGCTTTGACTTTGCTTGAATAGTATAGGTTTACGTTTTATTTCTTTCCAGGGTACACGATTATCTAGACAATTTGCTATATGACTGGGCCGAAGGTTTAGTGCTTCAGTACACGTTGCAGTGTCATAAAAGTCAGGATCAATATTGATGGAAATCTCTATGCACTTGAACGTAAACACAATCAATTAAAAACATTTTCAGTTATTCTGGATGAGTAGTTGAATCATCAAGTTTCTTTTCCCAAAAATGTTTTTTCCATTTCATACCGTAGATCCTGAAAAGCTTTAAATCGCTCTGCTTGCTTGCGTAGTAAAATTCGGTAATCATTTTCGATGATTTTTGTTTTGTCTAGAGCTGCTCCAGAAATGGAAAGCATTCAGAGAGTTGATCGACGTCTTAAATTTATGGGAAAAGTCTTTTTAACAATTTGTGAACTGTCCGAACGCTATCAAAGTTTTCCTTAAACAGCGCCATCGTCAGTATTTTTCAGTTTTTGAAGTCAACTCATATCAGTTTGTTTTGCGCAACATCTCATTCGAAAGAACATTACAAATTGCATTGATCTGTTTATTTGGTGTTGAAACGAATTCAAACTTTCATGTTGAAGAAATTAAATTAGTTGAAAAGTTCGGCGTTTTAAAACCAGAAATTTCTTCGTAAAATTGCTATAACTTCTGAGCCAGGAACCGTTAAAATACGTCACACAGATGTATATGTATTACGCACATTAAGCAGAAATCTCAAAACACTCAGATATCTGAAATATCTCACATGTCTCAGTACGTGTACTACTCACATTAAGCGTTCCGGAACTATCGAATGTATTTTCGTTCGTGAAGCGAATCTAATCGTTTGGTAAAAAAGTATTCTCTGAATATGACTCCCTGCATTGTTAAAAGTTCAAATCATTAAACTGGGTGAAACCCATTATTTTCGTCCTGTACGAGGTGCCGCCTTTCACAACTTGACTTTGTGCGCCGAAGTTTTAAGAACAGAGCGAAATGACAGGATCGGCTTCTGTCATGCTATTCCGAACGTATTCTTGTGATTCATACTCTTGTTGTCATGCTTGTCGCTCGTACGGTACGGAGTGTCCAAGTCTGTTTCATTCGATAATCAAGAAATTCTATTCGCTTGAGTTTACAAACTTACTGCTCTAGTCTCAGAATCATTATAAAACGACAGATCAAAACTTACTCATACATACTTGGAAAGCGAACTGATCGCTCCATTTTGATGTCAAGTGCACAATTTTTAGACAGAATAACGATTTTTTATTTATTTCTCTGTAAATGTACAATGAAAATTCTGAAATACGTATAAACTGGAAAGTCTTAGTATTCCAGTCCACATTTACCTCCGAATGTACATACGTGTAGAAAACGAAAGTCAAATTAATCTTCGAAGTTCAATATATAGCTGGGAATTCTCATGACGTTCAAATTCGAATTTTCACGTTGATTGTCATCTTTACCGTATACATACATACCAAAGATTACGCTCTGGCAGTATAATCAATGCATGGTATCGAACTCAGCTGTGCAGCATCGTAGAAAGTGCTTGTGTGCCTAAGAGTGAGTTACGACGCATTATTTCATGCACGACTTTATTTTCAATTTTCACTTTCCGATGTTGTGATAAGCAATGAGCAGTAGACGCGTACATGAAATAATGCCTCGTAACTCACTCTCAGACACATACATACCTTCTACGACGCTGTATACCTGAATAGGCGACCATGTATTGGTTTATAATCCGAGAGATACAATCTTTGATATATATATATATATATAGACCGTAAAAGTGAAAGTCAAAGTCGAAATTTGAATCTGAAAGTCGGAAGAATTCTTCGCTATGTATTTTGCAACTTCAAATATAATTTGACGTCGTTTCTCGTAGAAGGCAGGACACGTTTGGATACTGGCGGAAACACTTGTCAACATCACATAGTTTTCAGATAAACACACGCGTATGCAATCACAAAGTATAGGACTGCATACTATTGAGCAGGTAAAATAGAGTACATATTGATATTCTGACATAACTTGGAGTCATCTTGACTAAGTTATGAATTTTTGAACTTTACTCAAAAACAGGCAAAAAATGGGACATTTCATCTAATGTACGTTTTCACTAGATTTTTGGAACTGTTTTTTGAATTGTTCCATGAAAAACAGCATTGCTACGATGCTCAGCATGGTTGATTACTCCTGTGTCGAGTAATTCAGGATAATCAGTGTAAAAAAGATTGGCACAGACAGGCTTCTGGGGACTTTCTGTAGCATCAAAACGATGCATCCAAAAATTCTGAGAGTAGTCTCGAATGAAACAGAAACGTTTGCCGGTTCGAACCCATATTGAAAAAGTCAAAGCACTCCGAAATTTTTCGAAACGCGGTTAACAGACTTAAGTTTAAAAAAAAGTGAACAAAATAGCACACCTGATAAAAGTGAACAAAATCACATAGTTTCTTATTTTTCGGAATTAGGAAGTGACTGTTTAAAACCCACATCAATTGGAGAACTGGAATTTTGAAGGGTCACAATTTCCGAGAAAATGCCACTTTCGGCCCTCCAAACAGAATTTCGCTAACAATTCGAAGGTCACATGCGACAGAGAACTCAATTTTCCACAAACTGAGCTCAAAAACTTTGTTTAAATCAAAAAATTCGACAGTTTTTTCGATTTTTTTTCATTGGTCAACGAACAACCACGATACACAGTGAATAGTAAACCATCGCCATATAACAGCAGCAACATCAACACCCAACAGTATGCTCCCAGTGTATCGACTTTAGTTGAATCTTCGTTTCTTAATGTTGTATTAAATAATTTGTACAAGAAACTTTTCATTAAATAGAGATGAACACAACATTCCTTGATTTCATCGAATGTCTTACCTTTGACATCTCTCAGTCGATCAGCAATGAGCTGAGCTTCTAGTTCTTTGTTGAATAATTTCCCGTCCTTTATAATACCTATATGCAGAGTTTCAAAGGGAAGTTATAACAGTTAGAGAAAAGGCAGTTTCATTTACCGTCAATAGCTTGTTCCACTATCCTTGGATAATCCATGCCGGTTGTTTCAAAAGTATTGCGTTTCTTTTTTTCCATCCTTCAATAAACTGAACTACTACTGTGTCCTTTTGTTAGTGTGGATCAATTCAAATTCATCATCATCGTTATCATCGACTTGTCGAATTCCCTTAAAGGCTACTTGGAAAAATAGTGATGTAATTCATTTCTCAAATGCTAATAAGTCATCGTCGTCTCTAAGCAATCCATTAGATTTATTTTTAGACAATAAAAATAATTTCGTTTACATCGTTGATACCAACAATAGTCGAATTCAACGATTTGTACCTGAAAATAATCAGTCAATAGAAACTGTTGCTAAATTAGGTTTATATTTACCACAAAGTATATGGGTGGATAGTAATACAGGTAATATGTATATTATCGATTTAACTATTTTTACTGTTAATCACCAGCTACATTACAAATATTATCGAGTACAATATTGGCAAAAGAATGCTGCAATTGGTAAAATAATAATCAATGGAACAGATTCAGTTCTTGTTAATAAAGTTTTACGAATTGAGTTAGATGCAGACGTAAATATTTACATATCTTATAATCTCTTTGTTCGAAAATGGTTTGCACCGGACTACACATATCGCATCGTTGTAGCTGGTCAATGGAAAATTCTCTTGATAATTCGATTGGACCCATTGATATGTACATTGATAGTAAAATGTTTGACTTATATCTATTTGTTGTTCCAATCTATTGTTGTTCCATCTCTATCGAATTTAATTGCAGATGGGTTGTCTAAATTATTTCTTGCAGCAGTAATAAAGTTCAGTTTTTGTGTTAGTGGCTTAAATTGATATAGACCCTGTTGATCTGTAGTAGCAAAATAAATGTTTATATTACAATTGACGGTCATTGTCTTTGCACCAGGTAAATTTAAGAGAAGGACGGTAGTATTCTGCGAACCATACGTTCATTTTTCAATACGACCTTTGTACGTATAGGTAATAACATAATTAAATTTAAAAACATAAATGGAAAATATGAAAACTTCGTATATCAAAATATTTGTACAGTAACCGG